TGCGGTTACCATAGAGATAGAAGATAAGATATCATGACTTGTAATATTCCGTTGTCTTGTGTTGATGTGCACACCTTGAACACACTATGTTGAGTGGTGGATGAACTTTGGGTATCATATAGATAGAAGAAAATTTTATTCAAGAAATGCGTCCCAACAAGTACTGCGATTGGTGGATAGACTTTACAGTCGCTGCCCTGGCGTGGAAACTTCTAGAGTACCGCCGCAGTGAGGGTGCAATAGGTAGAGATGGACGATAACAAATAACGACTCGTATTATTCATTGCCCGTTTTCATGTGTTGCGCTGTTGAACTTCGACGTACTATGTTGGATGGGCTTTACACTCGCTGCCCTGGCGTGGAAACTGTGGAGTACCGCCGCAGCAACCCATCGTTATATGTGGTACGTATCACCCATTCCCAAGTATGTTGAGTGGCTCAACTGTGTTCAGAGGTGAACCCTCTTTGCCGCCTGCCTCAAGTGATGTGGGTGTTTGTGTGTCCGCATTTGGTATTGCAACTATGCCCAACCCTTGCTGCAATGGCCGGGAAGACTTGCAATGGGAGTGTGGTGCGCACTGCGTACTATGCAGCAGTACCAGCCGCAGCAAGTGGTGCAGGTTGGCATGCCATACACTGGAACTTTACACACGGCTTGTGTGTTGTTCAGTTCTCCAAACACTCCATGTATTACAAACCGCAGAATACATGACCTGGAAAACGCCCTGCGTTTATAGGCGTGCAGCCAACCTGAGTATTCACAAAATGGAAACCCGCAGCGACTTCGCCTTGAGTAGGCTGCAGAAAGCAAGTACTACAGGGACGAAACGGACCAAAATTATGAATCACGGATGTTTTGCTTGTGGAACTGGCAGACTTGGCGCCGCCCTCCCGTTAATTGCTTGGCAAAATAGCAGTGAAGAAAGAAAAATTGAAACCTTGTGGATACTGCGGGCCCAGCGTGTGGCAACCAGCCGAACGGTCATGCAGACGAAGGCCGCCAGAGCAGGAGGTGCCGGCAGGCAGACGGTACAGTGTAGCCACCTCTAGCTAAGGGGCACCTAAAATGAGCATGAATTGCCTTCGTAGTGCATTTCCGCAATGCATGCTGGTCAGTCGGTCGGTGAAGTAAAAATGCACTGCCTGACAAATTTAGGCCAATGTTGCCTCAGCCGTCTACGATGCAACATCCATATTAACAGGCCCGATTGGCAATGACCAACGTTGGCGTTCAGGTGAGCAGCAAAACTCAGCTGCAGATTGACATGGCACCACCATTGTCTCCTCAGCTGTCCGGGCTCACCGCCTGCAGGGTACTGAAGACTTGGAATTGTTTCTTGGTGAGTTTGGCAATCCTCCTTGCATTGTCTGAACCTCACAGTGCGCTAGCCTTGGGAATGCTCAATTGCTATTGTTAATTTACGATTCTCATTATTGTCCACCCACATGATAACACGACTTGAGCACATCCTACAGTCACTGAATTGTGTATGCCAGCCTGTAATTGCCAGCCACAAGCTGACCGTCCGAGGGAAGGTGTTTTTGATAAATCAGGCGCAGTCTTGGTTTGTTGACCAATGCAAGTTTCTTAACATTTACAGAAGTTTTATGTGCCATTTTTGGCTCCCACCCGTTCCCCTCTTAGGCCGTCAATTCGCAGTTGAAGAGCGAAAATAATCCCCGACTCGTCAATCCTCAATGCCGGGCAGGGAAGGACTTCCCCAATGTTCACAACCACCGCAACAACCTCGGGTCACCCTCGTTCAATCAGCCGCGCCTCCTCCCCCCCCTCCAAAAAAGCGTCCACACCTTTGCCAGAATTCCCTTTGCCACGTCCGCCCTCTGTCCCCACACACACCCCAGCGTCCCAACCACCCAGCCCCGACCTCCCAGCCCCGCAGCCTCAAAGCTTGACAGCCGCCGACTTCAGCTCCTCGCCCCCCTTCCTCCTCCGCGCCCCCTCGCCCCTCCCCTCCCTCTCCGCCTGCAGCTTCGCGAACACCGCCCCCGACCCAAACCGCAACTTGGATCCCCCCCCACCCGCCTCCTTTCCCTTCACCGATATTTCCCCCTTTCCGTTCACCGATTTTCCCTCCTTTCCCTTGGCCGATTTCACGCCCGCCACGGGCGCCTCCCCGCCCTTCGACGCGGCCCTTGAAGCCCTCTCCGCCGCCTTCGCCCTCTCCCTGTTCTTGAACGCCCGCTTCTTGGCCCTCCGCATCCTCCTCCTGTCATCTCTTTCGATCTCCCCATCCCCCATCACCTCCCCGGCCTTGGCGCCGCTGCGGTAGATCTCCTCTGGAGCCCGCAATTGAGCCTCGCTGACGGCCATCGGCACCGCATCCTCCATGGCCAGCGCAGGCACGTCGACTTTGACTTCCATCTGCTCAACCACGGGCTTAGGGGTGAAGTGGAAGTGCGTCAGGGCGTCCAGGCGGAGGCAAAGATCAGCAAGCAACTGCCGTGCCTCCTGCCGCAGGCCCTCGTCCTTGTCGTGCGCGCCCATCGGCCCGGACGCCCGCACGTAATCTGCCTCGTACAGCTCCCCCAGCCCCTGCTTGGCCTTGGCGTCGTCCATCTCGATCAGCACCTTCTTCTCCTCCACCGGCGGGGGCACCACCCGGACAACGTCGTCGAATTCGTGGTTGGCGATCCGTCGCTTGATCAACTCCTCGAGCGATTGGGTGCTGGCCTCCGTGGGCTGGGGTGCGGGGCGCATGGTGGTGTCGTACTCCAGGTCCGCAGCCAGGACGCTGTTCAGCGGCCGGTCGGCCCCGGTGACCTCCCCCTTGAGCGGCCATGGCTTCTCGGCCAGCGCCTCCTCCTCCAGCCTGCTGATCTGCTCCGCCAGCGACAGGCCCCCCAGGTCGAACCTGGACGCCCTCCCCTTGGCGGCCCTGGCCTTCGCCGCCGCGAGTTCCGCCTCCCCCGGGTCCCCCCATTCCAAATCCCCTCCCACCTCCCCCTCCCCACCCTCCCCACCCTCCCCACCCCGGCGCCTCTTCTTCACCCTACCGAAAAAATCATCGTGCCTGATCTCGGGGCCGTCCAGGTCGTCCTCCTGCCCCAGCTCGCCCCTGGCGATTCCGTCGCCAGATGGCCCACCCATCCTATCTGGGTCGCCAGGACCACCTTCGGCATCATCACCCTCATCGTCTTCGAGATGCGCCCCATCTTCCAGGCCCATCGCCTCTGCTTCGGCGTTCTGAACAAACCGCTCCATGTCGTCGAGGTTCATGAAATCGTCCTCCACAGCCAGCCTGCCTTTGGCCAATGCGCCATCCCCAGCCTCCGCCCCATCGCTGCCCCCCTGTGATGCTTCATCTGTCTCATCTGCCTCAAGGCTGCCTGCATCTTCTTTGTCCTATGGACCCCAGCAAAGACAAAGATATGATCAAGACATTGTGTGTTTGCTAATGCGACAGTATGCCACAGTCTCGCTTGTGTGATGGACAGGCACGCAGGCAAGGAGGCGACAGAGATCGAAATTGCGCCCTAATCGCTGGCAAACTGTCAAGGTTTGCTGTTTGTTTTCAGGCATTTCTATCCATCCCAGAAGACTCAGTCAGCGATCAAGCTTCACCATGGCCCAGATCCTCTCACAGTTAACGCAAAGCAATTGGTCAATCGTGGCAACAGAATATTTCGTTCATCTGCTGTTCATCGCTGCTTTGGAAGCAACACAATGATGAAACATAAAACAGCCATTGAATTGAACAGGGCAACACAAAACAACTCTTTGGAACTAAAGTTGGATTTTATCAAAAATTGACTGACAATTCACTTTCAAGTGCAACTGCTGAAACAAAGGGCAGGCATCCCCTTGCCAAACCTGTGAAGCAGTGAGCAGAGATTTCACCATGTGCCCCCCTTCACCCCCTTCCGTATGGAAGGAAGAACAATATGAAATCTGTACACAAGAGGCAAAGCTGCTCATTGCACCTTGCAGGTGATGATAGACACTTTCACAAAATAGAAGAGTCATAAAAACACAATCAATCCCGAATCCAAAGGTTGCTCTTGTCTCATGTTGTTTCCATATCCCATAGTACTTGTCGCAGTTGCTATGCTGCTGCTCCTCAGGCAATATCCATGCAGAAGCTGAAAGAATACTCGCTGCAGCCTTGCTTTGTGCGATCTCTCTGTTCCGAATTCCGATATCATATTTTTGACGATTCATTTCTGACATTTGCATGTTCATACATTCAAGCCTTGTTTGCACCGCAAGGTCTATGGACCATGATGCAGTGCAAACCTAGTATAACCCATGGGGTATTCAGGAACCAGTAGTTATTCAAGGCCATCAGTTCCCTGTCCTTGTTTTCAACAGTTGCATTACAGTTAAGACCACAAGCGCTTTACCCCTATCCTGCCCCAAAAAATCGCAGAACTGTCAAAATCACATTAAATCTTGAATCGAATCCAAATCACTCAAATGAAATCCACTTGGGCCTGAACACACCTCATCATCTGTGCCTTCTCCCCTGGACGACTCTTCAACGACTTCCAGAGTGCCATTGGCCGGCACAGCCTCTCCAGCCTCCCGCCCATCCCTGCCATCCAGCAACTCATCCAGATCCTCCTCCACCCCTTCGGCCAGGAACGATGGCTCCCCTCCTGCCTTGCGCAGGAGCCTTCGAGTGCGCTTGCTCAACTCAGTGCTGAGGCCATCGATCTGTGCCCATATCTGCTCAGCATCAAAGCCACTCACATGCAGGCTGCCACGGGGGGCCTCACCACCCTTGCCTGCCTCAACAAGAGAAGCTGCCGTGAAGTCGAACAATGCCTTTGAAGCGGTCCTTGCAGCCTGGGGAAGCAGCAGTCACGTGTTGCTGGCCAGTCAGTAAGGGAGGCGGGAGGCATCGTCTTGTCATTTCTGGCAAACGACATGGATGTGGACGTGCACTGCAGGGTGTTCAGCAAGAGAAATGTTGGCAGTTGTGGAGGGCCCCAGCAAAATGGATGCTCAAGACAAAGGGAAGCAGAGTTTTGTTGCCAGCACCGTACATGACATCGCCTTTCATGTGAAGCACAGCGCTTTCTCATTGCTTGGCAAAAGTCAAAGATTTTGAAGGCCCTTCAGGGTAACAATGAGTTTCTAGCAAGTAGGGCCAAGGAAGCCCTGTCACATTTCTGGCAACGTTGATTGTTGTCCTCATCCGCGAGTGCTTGTTCTCACAGCACACGTTATGTTCATGGTGAAGGAAAGGGTGCTTGACACTCCATCGTCAGTTTGTTTCTCCGCAAACAGGTTCATGATCAGGAGCCCGACAATCTGCCTGAATCCTTAGGCGTTCCGCAGCATCGCAGTTGTCACCTCTGCCACTGACGCCTTCAAGGATCCCAAGGCGCCAGGGCAGGCCACCTTCTCTTGAAAGTCCTCAAGGGCCTGGCTCAGAAGAGGATGGGAGTCGAACCCGTCCAACACCTCCACAGACATTCCCTGGCCTGTGAAACAAGCAGATTCTACGAGTCAGTAAACTATATACAGCAGGTGAAATCACATAAAATGGACATAGCCACCCCATCGCCATCCTGGCACGCAGAGCTTTTACAGTGGACGGTTCTAATGGACGTCAAGTTGTGCTGGTTGCCACGGTGTGGCACGCACAAGGACAAGTCCACGTGCCACCCTCTATCCCGGCGCAGGTGAGGATGGCAAGCAATCAAAGGCAGGGAGTGAGTAGCGCATCCACTGCGCAGACGGAATTGCCTTTTGTGTGACAGGTCTTTACCAATCACAATTGGGCGTTTGTTGTTAATCAGAATTCGAGGAAGTTGGACCCCACGGCTACCAAATCTTCAAGGCATCAGCTACACGGTCCCTCAGAACGACTGCTGGTGCACCCACCCAGCTCACTCCCAGCGTACCCTCAGCTGTCCGCGCGCCGCCAGCGCCGTGAAATGCGCGCCAAGCCCGCGCGTAGGCCCCGCTCGACGCAAAGCATGTTTTGCGCTCGCGACATCCCATTCAACACAACATTTAACAATAGTAAGGCAGATGGCGGTTGGCATCCTTCTCACGATTGAAGAAGGGTAAGGGAAGACACTGCAAGGAGGTTGGGGGTCCAACCTTGTCCCTCCCTGTTTGAGGGGCGAGAGCGGGGAGGCGGCTGGGCCGCCTGCACGCGATCAGGGCGCCTGCGCCGCGCCGTCGTCGCTTCGGCCGATCTCCTCCGGCAGCCGGGAGCCTCTCGGTGGGAGTCTTTGGGGCCGGCGGGCCCAGCACACCTGGCGCGGACGCTCCCAGCAACCGGCCCTGCAGTCTCCGGTGCAGCGGGCTTTTGGTGTTGAGGAAGGCTCCGGAGGTGCCAAGGCCAGCCATTTTCAGACAAACGGGTACAGTTATTCATTGCTTTTCTTGCAGAGAAATTGCTTTTTTTTCTTTGCAAAGAAAATGCACATCGCACAGGACACACACTGCCCGCACAGGGTCTTTTCCTTCAGGACATTGTTGTGCATACCAAGGCAAGAAAGCAGACGTCGCCCACATGTGGTCGCGTGCACGCACGGCATTCAGAACGTCGTTCCTGGAAGTGAAACCCCTGCGAGCGCGGCCAGCTGAGTACGGCTTTGCTGCTTTGCTGCAAGTTACACGGGGGTACTCTTTTCCTTTCGGTTCCAGAATAATGCAGCACATTCAAGTCCAGGCGCCGCCCCCCGTCATAACAAAAGAGGTGAGTGCACTGGGCCACCTGACAAGGAAGTGCAAGGCGACGTAAGCGCCCAATGCTGGAGTCCACATGAAAGCGGTCTCAAAGAAGAGAAGGTCGGGTCTGGGGTGTGGGAGGGTGGGGACACGGCAGATCACTAATTTGGTGTTTGAGGTTGATTACCTGGCATGTTTCTGGTTTCACTAGTTGTTAAACAGTGAATATCTGCCTGGAGGTTCAGCGCAGAGTATGATGTCTCTCCCTTGCCGTGCAGCAGCTGTTGGTGCCATGGGGCCTCGACAATGAGGTTCTGCTCACTGCGAAGAGTGTGAAATAAGGGGTGCTGAGCGAAAGCCTGTCAAAATTGTGCAGAATCACGTCGGCCTGTGGCCACTGCCTTACATTCTCGGTATACTTCAGCACCGCAGCATCACAATTCAGGAGCAACAGCTCAAGGCTTGCTCAACAATTTGTATAGCTCGTTACAATGTTCATCCACGCTGTCCAGGGCAAAACAGATCCAACGGACCCCTCGTTGCCCATACATGTGAAATTTCCAGGAGGATCGCACTCAGCAGCAAAACTGATTCAACCAACACGACGTCTCTGCGAAGCCGTTCAGGTCATGCCGAAGCAGCACTGACCGATTCAGCTGCAGGCAACTGATAAACCACCCAATCTCCACGCATCACATTAATGGGGGCTCGAGCTGCACAAAAAAGCGTGTGTCCCACCCGGGTTCTGTTTTTTATTCGATCCGGCACACCAAGGTGTGCTTCCATCCAAAATCACTTCCACCCACCCGTTGAGACGTTCAGTTGTAGGGCAATCAACGCAGGCATGGCCGCAGCGACCTCACACCCCCCGCCCCACCCCATCCTTGCCTTCCACATTGCCCCATTCGTACATTACGCCGCATGTCCTCATGCAAACCCCCACCACAGGGCTCAGCGCTCCTTTCAGAGAAAGCGGAGTTCGAGGCGCCTCCACACTCATTGACAGTTCCGCCAGGTGCTGCCCCCAGGCGCCAACAACCCTCCTTGCGGGCCGATCTAATTTTCCAGTATGTGGGGCTTGAGGTGCTTCATGAAGCCGAAACCCCTGAAGCGGTCTACCTTCATCAGCGCCTGCAGCTTGCCATCAGCTATGATCTCCTGCTTGTTGTCGGGGTTCTGCAGGCCGTTGCTCTTGAAGTAATCCCACATGAACTTGGTCAGCTGGGGCCTGGAGATCTCCGTGGAGCCCAGGAAGTCCGCCAGCTCAGTGGAGACTTTGAGAGGTTTGGCAAAACCCCCTCCGCCACGGCGTGTCTTCTTCTCACCCTTGTCATCCTTCTCTGTGCGAGCCTTCCTGCCCACTCCCCGCGTCTTCTTCGGCTCGGCTGATGGGCAAACAGGGAGTTCAGGCAATGAAACTGACCTGAGCTGACACTTGTCGCATTCCAGAAGGAGCACCATAGATTCGTTAATGCACCAAGTCATCAACTCGTCAGGGTATGTTATGGGACACAGTGTGTGTACAGAGACATCAAGGTCAACAAATTTTTGCAACCCTAAGATGTCACACTCAGGGGACGTCGAGTACAGCTGCGAACACAAAACTCTGCTCTAGGCAAGGCAAACATGCACACCTGTGGTCACAACACAGCTCGTTGGTGCGGCCCTATCTGTGAGCACCAGTCACCATACAGGGCGTTCTGCCAGGTCCATGCCTGTGACATTCCCTTCGTCCAACCCCACTTCAGCCGCCCCATGGAGGATACATTTTCAAGTCAACAGGGGTAGACGTCCTCCAACCCTTATCCTCAAAGAAAGACCACAAAGTCCGCCTTGCTCAACCAAAAGGATGGGGTCAATATGAGACAGCCGATGCAAGCTGAAACTATGTCCAATCAGGGCTAAATTGCCCCCACCTCACCCGACTCCACCCCACCCCAGCCCCACTGCCACCGGACTCAATCACAAAAGACCTCACAAGCAACAGAACCCAATGTCGCACAAGCACAATTGCCCAGGAGGGGTGCCCATTGCACAGCACGCTCAACAAAACATCTACCAATCAAGCCATGTGGAAACGCATTGGGGTGCACCTGGACTCTGAAATGTGCTTTACTTTTCTGAGCCGATAGCATAAACCATCACCAACATGGGCACAGTCTAAAGAGGGCTCCATTGTCCCAGCACATGTAGGACATTTGAGGCCAGCTACAGGGAAAAGAGGGGACTTGGGGTGCACCACGAGCTCGCCTGGGTCACAACCAACCTGCTGCTTTTTGCCTCCCTGGCTTCCGCTTGCTACCAGCCCTGCCAACAGCACAGCTCAGATATCACTGCGCCATTCCCTGAACAGCCACACCTGCATCTCGACGCCCGATAGCACAGTGGAGGCTGTGGGACAGGCTGCAGCGGCGCACATGATCGCTCCTTCACACTGCAAACTCCACATTTCGGACACCGCTCTAGGCGTTCATCGGTTCCCACCCTGCGGCTGACGCCCTCCGCCTACTTGGTGGCCTAACCGCTTTTGCGACCCATAGCCTCCATGGTAAGGGGCCAGCCAGCACCGGGCAAAGGCTGCAAAGCGGCAAACCTACCCTGCCGTGTCGCCCGTCCGCCCAGCTTCGCCGCCGCAAGACGGCGCTCCGCGCGGGGAATGCGGGACAAACGGCAGTGTGGCAGAGGTGGCCACACGCCGGCGATCAAATCCCCGCCACCCCGCACAACACAGCCAAGGGAGGCCCGATCACGTTCCCCTTGCGGTCTCGCTCGCGCAGCTCCCACCGGAAAGCGCCCCCGCGTGTCCACTCGCATCCAATCGCTAGAATTTTCACTTGCGCTGCGGCCTTGCATCATCACAGATCAGCCGCGGGGGGCATTGGCACGCCGCCCGTCCCGCCCGCCCCACCTGGCCTTGGGATCGCCGTCGTTGTCCTCCACCTCCTCCTCCAAATCGCCCTCCTCGTCCTCCTCCTCCTCGCCGCCGCCGGCGCCCTTCTCCTCGAGGTACTTCTTCACCTGTCGGCATTGCGCCCAGTTGGGAAAAAGGCGCGTTTCGCGGCGGGCACAGAATCGCCCCGCCCCTTCCCTCGAGCGCACTCGCAAGCGCCACGGCCGGCAACCGGCCCACAGCTGCCCTCCCCCCGCTGGGACAGAATCAATTCGTCGTCCCGCCGCGCCCCGCTCTCCCGTCCCCCTTTTCAGCCAGCGTGCATTCCACGCGCTCCCCAAAGCTATGCCGTTCCTGTCCCCAAGCTCACGCGCGGAATAAACCCCGAAGCGCGCCGCATCTCCGACACGCGCCAGCAGACCTCCAGCTTTACCCTCCAGCAGAAAATCGATCGCAGGCCATGGCCACCAACTCCGCAGTTCAACCGCTGACGCTGGCGGTCGTACAAACCCCATGTCCACAGCGGGATCGATCGGCGCCACGACTGCCGCGCCCGCCGCACAAACCCTCGCGCGCCGGCGCCAGTCCCTGAAGCCATCCTACCTCCGGGCCACCGCGCCAAAACCCCTCGCCACGCCCATGCCGCGCAACCCCATTCCCCGCCCCAACCACCCCACGGCCAGGCAAACGTGCAAAGCGGAGCGGTCCGCCTCCCGCTTGTCCGGCGCGGTGGCCCAGCTCCGGCCCCGTGCCCGGCATCAAGCCCGCACGGGTCCCCCCGCCGCCTACAGGCCACAAATTACACACACACACACGCCCCCCCCGCCCACGGCCTCCCGGCCCGCCAAAATGCGCGCCCTTTTTCGCCTTCCCCCCCCCACAACCCCAGGCAAGCCCCTCCTCTTCGTGATTTTCCCCAAACCCCCTGAAGAAAAGAAAAGAACAAAGGAGAGCTGCGCAACGCCAAGCCGCCCCACACCCACCTCCTTGCGAACCAGCGCCTTCTTGTCCGACAGATCCACGCCCAGCTCCGCCTCGAGCTTCTCCCTCAGCATCCGCTCTGCGCCCAAAAACACACCATCCCCCCAGTCCGCCGCGTCAGCCCCCGCCGAATCAAGTCATCGCCCATTCCCCCCACCGCTCGGGGCCAGCAGGCCCAGCGCGCCGCATCCCGCCATTCCCCCACCGCTCATCTCCGACGGATCGGCTTCCCCCAGCAATTCCCAGAGCCGGGAGACGATCTTGGCGTCGTCGGCCATCCGGATCGGCGGTGGCGGGCGGGGGCTGGCTGGGGTGGCCGCGCGCTGGGGCTACGGGGGGGCCGGCCACTTAGAGGTGGGGCCCGGTGACTTAGGCAAAATCCGCTTATGGAGCTCGCCAAGTGGTGGTGTGGGGTCCCCTCTTGGCTTATAGGGGGTTACCGGGTGGTTTGCGCCCGAGGGGGGGAGGGGCTCCTGGTGGATGGTGGCGGGGCAGGGGGCGGGAGAGGGATGATTTGATTCATTATTCTTAAACGATTCGTTAATGGTTATATTGGGGCAAATTTGGGCCAATTATGGGGCGGGGGGTGCAAGGGGGCTGTTCGAAGGAGATCCAGGCCTCCACGCGGGCACGGATCTTGGGCGGGTGGGCGGGAAGTGGCGGTGGTGGTTGGAAGGGGTGATGGGCGGAAGTGTTGCCTTTGTGTCTTAGCGGTGGTTGGGGCGTTGGCGGGTGGGAGCACTGCGCTTTGTGTACTGATGGCAGCGTTGCGGCCGCGAGGGAGAGTGTCGCAGACTGTTCAAGACCAAAAGCCTCTCTTCGCCCAAGAAACAAGACAGCGGTGTTGACTGCATGCATTGCATGCTGTACTAATAACGTGCTCTTGAAGCACGCATAGGAGTGCCAAAGACTCAGCGAGGGGAAACTGCTGCTGTCCTCACACGCTTGGTCGTGTCGGTGTAGTAAAGTCGCGAATTGCAGTGTTTCATGTCAACGTTGCTTCAAATGAAGCCCATGCATAGGAGTGTGTTAGGGTCGCCAATACATGATCTGAAATTTATGCCAAGCTGGCGACCCATGAGCCTCAAAAGGTGGTTAGAAAGTGGCGAAAATCTACAAAAGCATAAAAAAGGGCTTAGTCTCCTCTAAAAGACGAACTCTGGCATAAAAGGAGAATACGGAGATGACAATGCGGCGAGACGTATGGGTACCTCGATTTGGCGCCCAAATTCTGCCAACATACAAGACACGATACCGATGCCACGGCGGTCCTGTGTCCCAGGAAGCTACGCAACGCACTGAGCTCCGCGCGCCACCCCTCTGGGCGCGCGCGCTTGGCTCACGAAGCTGCGTCCTGACTCGAAAACTGCGTCCGGCAACGCAGCACCGCCCGAAGGATGGATCTGCACCGATCGGTCGCAGCAATGCGCGTCAATTGGCTCGCACCGGCGATCGGGATCGAGGGGCTGCGAGCACCGATGGCAGTCGGTGGGACCAGTGATGGCTGCGACTCGTGGCGAATCTTCGCTGATGGATCCACTGGCCACGGGCTGGTGGAGACCATGTGGGCAGCATCACTAGGAAAAAAAGGTCAAATAACACTTTTGCGAACACACATAAAACACATTTCATCAAAGTTCTGCACGCTAAGAACACAAAAATAACACAAACCCGTAAACTTTTTACACGTTTGAACACGTTTATTTGGCCTTTTTTTTCCTAGTGCATGGGACTGCGGCATGCGGGACGCGCGAGTCGCGAGAGGCGCGGTGAACAGCGGTGGTGTAGCGCGGTGACGGCTTCATGGGGACAGGTGAGGGGCTTGACGGGGGCAGATGATGTAGTGCCACCGGATTACTCACAGTGGCGGACAGGGCAGCCACCATAGGCGTACAAGGGGACGCTGTAGGGCTGAGGTTACACGTCCCAAACGCCTTCCCAGACGGGAAGACTTTGCCAACGACGGCCAAAGCTTTTCATCAAAGGTGGTCATCTGGATCTGAGCCAAGAGAGGTGGTGATGTTACGCATGGTTCGGAGTGGGACTATATCGGAGGCAGGCACAGCCACGGGCTTGGGGACACAGCTGAGGGTACAGAGTTACAGATAGGTCACGGACAGGCATGTCCCTTTATAGTCATACAGCCATCTCTCAATGACGGACCAGTCATTGTCATATCATTCGCCCCCAACACACATAGAACGTCGCCCTCGACGTGTAATCACCTCAACCAAACAAACCAAGGGAACCAGGAAACTGGTAGAAACCATCATCAAGAAGTCATTCAAAACTTCAGACACTTGGCCAGCCGTCATGTGCGGGGGCCTTTGAACACGAGCACAAACCCATCACAAGGGAACATATCGAGAATCAGAGCATCAGCTCAAGAATCCATCAAACACTTGGCCAGCCGTCATGCGGGGCCTTGAACACGAACATGCAAACCAGTCTCAAAGGAACACATCAAGAGCCAGAGCATTGGCTCAAGAATCCATAGAAAGAAACCAGATTCGGAAAGGAAACCATCAATCTCAAGAGCAACACGTCTTGGCGGACGTCGCCACCTCCACGGGGCATCTCAGCAACTCGATCTAAGCTGACCCATCGGCGCTCGGTGCGCGCCCCCAACAAAAGACATAATGCCATGCCCAGTGCATTGGAATTGCCACGTGGGCCTCGCTCATGTTGTGCCACGTACTCGCTTGACATGGTAGTAACGCTCAACCCGTATAATTGTGTCCTCCATGTAGGACCACACTGTCAGCTGGCACGAGCTGACACGAGCCGCCGTCCTGCTGACTCTTCATCACGCAACCCTTGCTACGGGGCCGTGCGTGCTGTGTGCCAAGCACGTGATCTCTCAGACACAGCCATCCACTCAAGTTACCACTTCCGACCAATGGCGTAGCTCACACTCGCCCATCACCGCTCAGCGGTGCTGTGTTGGCCCCCATCGCAACTCTGCCATCGTAACTCCAGCGAACGCACAGCCGCGGCATTGACGGAACTGACCCGCGCGTCGTCCACCGCCCTCAGTCACGCCTTTGTTGCGCTCGCCTCAGCTCTCGCGCGACCGCTCCATGTCCATCGCTGGACGCCATTCATCACGTCGCCACTCCAACGCACCACAGCATGAGGCGGCACAACGCTCGCGCGCTCCTCGGCGTCACACCATGCCACGCAGCTGCATAGTCCTGCAATCCCACCCCTGCCTCGGGTGCCACATGTTACGCATGGTTCGGAGTGGGACTATATCGGAGGCAGGCACAGCCACGGGCTTGGGGACACAGCTGAGGGTACAGAGTTACAGATAGGTCACGGACAGGCATGTCCCTTTATAGTCATACAGCCATCTCTCAATGACGGACCAGTCATTGTCATATCAGTGATGCGTGTTGCAACAAATATATAACGTCTGCAAGGCAATCTACGCAATTGATGACTACGTTACCAAGTTTCAAGCAAGATGATGGTCAATTTGTGCGATCAATGTCACTGTGCGACTGGAAGTTTGTGGAAATTGCTGCGAGCCCATGCTGAACACACTGGCGAATCAGAGATTTGTAATCCTGCTCTAAGTGATCGAGGAACTCTCAAGAAGCTTGCTGCGAATATTTTCGACTTCTCAATGATTGCTGCGCACGAAAACGCCAAATCTGACGTGGATTTTTGTGCTGACCAATGCGCAATTGATTCAAGGAAGACTAGGTCGAGATGCGATGTCATCTCTGTTCAATTTTTCTGCATCAAGCAGATGTAGTTTATATGTTTCTGTGAGGCTTGACAGCCCAATAAGGGTGCGGCCTGCTGCACACAGAAGCATCAGAAATCTGTTCATGAAAATTATAGACTTTTGTTGTTGATGGGATGGGTGAGTGTGTCAGTCCTTTAATTCAATCAAGAAAGATCACAGGGCAGATTTGTGGCGTGGCCGTGACGTCACGGCATTGTTCTTGAGCAGTACATTGTAGTGCGGTAAAAGGGCAGGCGGAGCCGCACGTGTGGACGAATATTCCTGCGAATCCTTCACTTCGCAGCACAGATTCGATTGCGGTGTTGTGCGTGTGCTGGAAAAGTGACGAAGGACTAAATTGATGGCCACTTGAGCGTTGCAAGGGGGTGATGTGAGGATTAGAAGAGCATGCTGTGAGGTTTCCGGAAGCACGCTCAGATGTGATACGAATAGTGGAGTATGAGGCGCAAGGAGAGTGAGAATGATGCTGACTGCCGTGTTTGGACGTTGCCTGATAGAAACTGTACTAGATTCGATTGTACTGCCCTTTCTGACGTGCCTAGGGTATTTGGGGGGTGGCTGCCGTGCTGCGTGGGTGCCCCATGCTGCTGTGCCCAGCGCCGGAGGGGCTGCACGGAACAGACAATCGTCCGTAAAGCTGTAAGCAGTCTGTTGGCATTGCCCGGTTGTGCGACCCTCCCACACAGGCCGTGACGCGCAGACCGACAAGAATTGCTTCACGGCCAAGAGCTTGAGGTCTCCAGCGCTCGCATTTCGACAGAGCGCGCCCGCTGCAATCACGTCGCTCGAGCGCATGGTTTTCTGAGCGATTCTGCGGGAATCGAAGCGGCTTCCCACGTGTTTCTCACCCAAGGCCCGGAGATGTGGGGGAGCCTGGATTTGCAAGGCCCGGAGGCCCGTTTGGACAGGATTTTCCGTGGCGGAGTCGTTGGCGACGTGCTCGCAAGGGAGCTGTACGACCCCAGATTCGTCTCCTTCGAAGCAATCCAATCGAGCCGGGGGGAGGGGGGGACAAGTGAAGGCTTGTCGCTTTGTGGATTGTCGTCCGGCGGCTACCATGTCAGACGGCCACCTTTCGCAAGTGTTTCTTGTCTTAATTTTTGAAAATATACTCGTGTTCAGTTTCCCCATATATTCTCTATTTATACTCGTGTTTGTATATAATATGTTCATATATTCTCTATTTATAACTCGTGTGTATCAGGATTGTTATTTACGCCGTAAACACAGATCGTATTTACATTTTACGCGTAAAAATAGTTTTTACGTTTTTACGCATAAAAACGCGTAAAAATACTTGAACACAACGTAAAAGCAGCCCCGTGTACATAAGGACAGTACATACAGCCTTCGGGACTCAGGGGAATGGCATGCAGACGCACTGAAATGGGCAGAAAACGAATTTTCGTTGCACTCCATCGTGGCCCTTGCCGAGTGGGGAATGGACTCTGTGTTGCGGGCGCTCAAGGGGGCAGAGTAATGATCACTGTACGCAACTTCCATCGCGTAACCTGGGTGTCACAAGGAGCCGTAAAAACGTAAAAACAGCCGTAAAATTAGCTTCTGTTACAAACTTACGTTTTTGCGCATAATTTATTCTGCAACCTATTCTGCACCTACCAGACACAAGCCCCGCGAACATTTGAAACGCCCTCACATCATTGCAACAGCCCGAAGTTCTGAAATAGAAATTTGAAACAACAAACAGATCAACAACTGAGGAAAAGGCGAGAGCACCCTCAAAGAAAAAAAGCCCTCTGCCTTTCTGTTCGGTTGCCATCCACGCACCCACCGAACTCCTCATGTTCACTCCTGTGACGCACCACGTCACGCTCCTTGGCTCAAACAAATGGCACACATTCTACACTTAAGCGACGTGATGTGGACAAACGTACAAATACAATGCAGTAGCAACAGGTGGCAACTCAACCTCAGCCAATCGCAACCGTCGCACAGCCCCCCTCCGCTCTGCTTCCTAAGCACGCTCATGCACAGCGTGCCACTCGCGCTGTGGATTTTTCACATGGAAAAACGGATTGCCTTCCAGCGTTTCATTCCCGCATTCCGCTTTTCCTCTTCAAGGTTGCGTGCCGCGCCTCTGAAGCCACCAATTTGGGAAACCTGTGACGGGCAGCGCAGGTGCTTCGCCAACACGCACCCCAGCGCCACATTCCGAGGCGTCCCACCCACGCGTCCCACCTACGCGTCCCACCAATGCATTCCATCGTCGTGTCCCATCAGCTTGCCCCACCCTTGGCACCCAAGCATCATTCGCGTTGCACAACAAGGCAAGGAAGTAGACGTCACGGTCCTATTTTGCCCCAGCAAAGAGGTTTCCACGAGTGTCCCAATCACACCATTCCTCTGCTGTGACGACCTAACCAAATCAATTTGGACAGCGCACTGCACCTTCCCCTGGATTTTTTTCCCTATCCTGAGCTGTCGGCTTCCTGTTGTGTGTAGGTGATCCTGTACACGTCGTCCGCGTAGTCGTCAGACACCAACAGGGAGCCGTCGGGCATGATTTCGACGTCCACAGGCCGGCCGCAGACGGTGTCGCCGTCGCCGAGCAGCCACCCGCCGGCAAACGTCTCCACGGACTCCACGGTGCGGTTGTCTGCGCCGAGGCGCACGTTCAGCACACTGTAGCCTGCGACTCGCAGCACATGCGGAAACACTCACGCAGAAAAACAGCGAACTTTATCCATTCCATAGCTGAATGCTGCGCTTCGATCGTGACCATTTTGCGGACGTAGAGTATGGAATTTGCCAGGAGGGCCAGAGCGTGCACTTTTCACCATTGAGCATACACATTTAATCTACGGAATATGTTGAGCATATCAGATGCTGAATGGGTGTTAGTACAGAGTGCTCGAAACCTGCTTTGGCTGAGGCTTTCGCCAATCTCGGGAGACTTCAGCTTTGGCGTCAGGGGGCACCACCAGTGCGTCGACGATGCGGCCGCGTCAAGTGCTGCTGCTGGATCAAATCCCCGTTCATTTTGTGCAGACCAGCGTTACAGCGGACTGCGTGGATGGAAGCTCAATGCGCAAAATTTGCCCGATTAACACAAATTCGATTCGCGCTGCCACTGTGACACACTGCCCCAAATTGTGGATTGGCAAGCGCTGTGAGCGTTACAAAGGGACCAACTTATGGACTCCCTCTCGCGTTCTTCCGCCATTTTCATCACTGGGTTGCGAGCAAAGATCTCCAGAGTAGAACTCGTAACGTGCTATTTACTGAAGTACACATAACTGGGTGCATGGTACAGCTAAGCGCAACCTGTTGCCCGTGGCGCTTTAACGCCTGAGCGTCTTGAAAACGCTCGTTACAGTCTGCCGTCGTTTGAAGGCATCAACGGAAGTCGAAATGAACGTAGGAGGCCAGCATTTACGGCTGATCTTTGGCGCTCATACGCGCCACGCATGGCCATGGAATTCTGCCAGTGGTCGTTTCGGACCTTGTGCGCGCGGAGTTGCGCCCAAACCACCTTGCAGGTGCAATAGCGGGGCATCGTCGTTGTTCTGCGAGCAAAATCAAGCGATTGACGAGAGGGCCGATAAGAGCGTCCGCGTCTACACCTGCGCTGTGTTCAAGACAGATCCTTGGTTTCCAACCAAGCGATGCTTCGCTCGAAGTGGCAGCTACTTCGAACAAAGTATTCGTTTTGACCCACGACCAATAGAGGCTGTGGAAAAGTCGATTTCTTACAGCGAAGCCGTAACTAGAGTTGCAAAGTAATCGAAAACATACTAAAACTTAGAAAAAACGTGTCTGGGTAGACCCCTCGCTGCGCATTTTCAGCGCCGCACATCCTGTCGCTGGGCATTCGCAGCCCTCTTCTCGAATAGGCCCGTTATCGCGCGAATACAACAATTCCTCCGATATCATCTTTGGGTGTTCGATTGAAAGGGTTACAGGCCAATGCTCAAGGAAATCGGCTGCAATGCACAAGATGAAATCATTTTCGCAAAACGCGGCTGCAATTCTTCAGCGACGGGCTGCAAAGCCGCCTTCGAAAGGGCTGCAAGCACGCCACAACCCGACTGCAAAAACACAGGACCCGATTGCAAATAACAGCGGAATTTCAAACAAACTGTAGAACCGGATGCTCGTCCCCCCCTCCCCCCCAGCAATAAAAAAGGCAGAGTCTCGTCATTTTGCAACAAACTGGATAGAAGGAGTGCGGCGCGTTGTTAGCATTGTGCACAGCTATTTCGCGGCCCCACCGATTTTGTCTTCTCGATTCCAGCTTCCGTGCAGTGCGATGAAGGCGGAGTTCCAGTAGCGCTCCGGGAACATGGTGCCAGTGTAGAACCGCATGCCAAGAGCGGCCACGTGGGGCCCCAAGGGCTGCACCGCCAGCTGGTGCGACTCCGGGTCTGGTACAGAAAAACTTCAGTATGGCTTCGCCAGTGGTTGACAGAGAGGTCGAGCCGCTGTAGGGTCGATTTTTATGAATTGCGCAGTGTGCCAGAAGCACGTTCAGCAGTCTCGCCACACAGCAGAGCAATTTTCAAAGCAGCTGGTGTGTAAACGTCGCCTTGCTCAGTGTACAGTGAAGCTGTAGAAATGCAAAAGCAGCGCCTCATAAACGCTATGGGAGGCTTTAGAAACACACCCAACAATATGGCAGCACTTTGGCGACGCAAAACGGCGGCAATTCCAGCCCACACTCCGTTCAGAGTCGACGCGGAAAGAGGTCTTTGCCGAATGAGTCATTTTGACTGCGCTGGTAGATATCGAGAAAAGAAAATCGCGTCTCTTCGCTATAAAATGCCTTTCAGTTGAATAGGGCTTTCACACAGTACCGCAGGGGACCTGCTTCACAGCAGCACCCAACTGCAGTACTCTAGAGCAATTCCTTTCTGCAGTGCTCTGATGCATACTCCAGCACATAAAGCAGCGGAGGTCGCATTTTTTGCTGCAAAATGTTTCAAAAATATCGAATGTGGACGAAACGAGCAAGATATTTTAGAAATTCGCTCTGTGTCCGTTACTCTGCAACGCACGTGTCTGTGGCTGCTGTCAGTCTGCCTTTGTGCTAATGGTGGGTCGACATGTGTCCAATGATATTTCTCAAGCCAAGCAGGCTAGCAGTGAGAGCACGGCAAACGTGAAAGGGAACAAACAATGGTGTTCGAATGTACCAACCGAACCTAAATAGAATTAAATGGTGGAGAAGATAAACAGTGATTCCATGATATTCAATTCAATCCCCCACCTGAGCAATTCTTGAATGTGCCGAAGGTCGTGTCCGGTACCACCTTCCCAGCCCCAGCGGGCCTGTTGTACGGGTCTCCCTCGCCCTAAGCAGGGACAAGAAATGAAGAAATATTCATGAAATCAGTCCGAAAACCGCAAGTAAAGCAACATAAAGGGAGAATCTGGCGACCCACACTCAGCATTTGGTTTCAGCGTCCGGCCTATGGCGGCACAAAAACCATCTTTGCGCCTCCCTGCCAACGTAGGAGAAAATCAAAAATAGAAAGGAACATAGGAGCATGGCCAAAAAAGGGTTCGAGCTGCCTCATCGACAACAAACAATGCTGTGGTTGTGGGTATGTGCCAATTCGAGAATTGTTCTACGGAGAGAGGGCCTGTCCCAAAGCGAGCATTTCCCTCCTGATCAAGATTTCTGCGCCTGTCCTCCACATGCTGTGGAAGTTGATGCGCAGCAGTGCCCACGAGCGCACGCACCTCTGTGTGACAATACGGATATCCAAAGTCCAGCCCTTTTTCCAGCGCGATGTTCAGCTCATCGTCAGGTAGGTTGTCGCCCATCCTGTCCCGCCCATTGTCGGTGAACCACAGCTCCCTGGTGAAGGGGTGCCAGTCGAACCCCACGGTATTCCTGACCCCCGTGGCGTAGATTTCGAGGTCAGATCCGTCTGCAGTCGATCAATGCATCAGGGCAGTAATCAATCAGTCAACAAAACATGGCATCCATTCACTTGCGACTGTCAGAATGCACTTCGATGTGCATTTGACCAATACTCTACTACAATGATTTTCTAGGGGTGGTTCTCTCATCGAAGAGGTATTCTTACAAAGCTTTGCTCGTCAAGTGACCAAGGATGTCTTTGTACACACACAAGTACCAGGGAATGTGATTCAGGGTCCACACAAAGCTCCAGGAAACCAGGCAGGCATCAGACCAATCTTCAAGCGAACGTGCATTTTGTGACTCGTCTATTCAGCCATATTTAACGTGCAGCACTGTGACTGAAGGCACACAGATGCACAGTTGCATTTGGAGGAAGGGGCTTTGGTTGCCCAGCCATCGCAGCCTCCACATTCTTCTGCACTGCAACTTTCGAATTTGCACAGGCACTCTCTCACCTTCACTCATGCAATTGATGGTGCCATATGCTATGTCGCCAAAGTCCTCCAGCTCACAAATGTTGCATGGGGCACCCACCGGGATGTACAGCTTCCCATCGGGGCCGAATCTGATGAACTTCCAGCCGTGGCCTGGGTCTGATGGGAAGGCGTCGCTGATAAGGATGGGGTCTTGAAGTTTCTGCAAACAAATGAACTTTGCAAAATGAACAAAACTTTCAACTGTCAATCATCAATCACTCACTCACTTAATATGTAGATCAATACAATGATCTATCAGTCAGTCGATCAATGAGCCAATCGTAGGCTAGAGATTATACAAAAAAAACAGTCCATACCTTGTAATCATATTTGGTTAGTAATGTTATTGACACATCGATACCCAGCCAGCCCAATGTCTTGGTACAGGCTGCCACTTTTGCTTTGAGCTGTATTTCTCAGAATTGAAGTCAACGTCAGCTGCCAAATTTTCACAAAGCGGAGGCAAAAGGTCGAAATGTGGCAGAAGAACAAGTGTGGGTTAGTGGACATGGCAGCACTCAACAGTGCATTTGTAGGTGACTTGGACAACGTGGATGTTGTTGATAGTGCAAGTGGTATAGATGCTGCAGTTGCTGCAGTACTTGGTTCTAACCGCCAGAGTGTTCTCTGCCAAGCCAAGCTTGCCAACACCCATCTTGCCAGCTCTTTACAACTGCACCAAATCGCACTGTGGCAGTTTGCGCTGAAAGAGCAAACCGTAAGGATGCAGGCGATGCAGTTTACTGCCTCCACTCTGCTGAAAAAGCTTGGATCGTAGTTGTCAACCCTGCACTTGGTGGCTTGACCCTGTATACAGCATTCGTTCTTTTCCTTGCACAATGCTGTCCATTGTGCCCGCACCCGGCTTGTGAGCTCCTGACAATCGTAAGACATGGATTCTGGAGCGCCAGTTCTTCGCCTGGCACTGCCTTGAGGGGTGGCAAAAGGTTGTACCCCTTCTGCTGTGACATGGGCAGCGCCTCATCTCCAAGCTGTAGCATGTCCATTTTTCTCTGTTTTCGGACTGCATGTTTCGAGAGCAAACCCATAGCGCCTTTAAGCCCACGAGCACATCGCGGGCGTAGGTGCGCACGTAGAACCCCCTGATTGCGATCCACACGCCGGCAATGTCCAAACCAAATCTGCATCCAACCTTGGTGGTGCAAACACTGACAAATAAAAGGCACCGCAATCGGAACAAAGAACATTGGGTCCACCCCTGCACGACCCCGCTCAGGCACCGCCGCGGCCCCACCTCTCCCCTGAGGGCCTGCTCATCAACATCATCGTATCGCCACACGGCGTCGATTTGCGCAAGGTAAAGGGAGCCGTTCCTCCAGGCGATGCCGTTGGGGGTGTCCCTGTCATCGATCACCGTCACCACGCGGTCGCCCGTCCCATCACTGTCCTCGTCGATCACCGCGTAGACCTGCGGGGCAGAAATCCCACAATGGACGTCCTGAATTCACATGCCGGCCGTCCTGGGCTCTTGGGCCCACAAGTACTACCGCAAGAACATTGAAAACAACCGGTCGACATTCCAGCGGTAGAGATGAGCGCGACGGCGCGCAAAGATGGAGCGGAGTTGGGTAGGGGGGATGCGCAGGCGGGCTGCGCCAATTGCATCCTCCCAGGGGCCCAGGGCCGGGCGCTGTCGCGCGGCACAACCTGCGGCGCACGGCGCACTCAAACCCAATCCCAGATCGATCGATTCCCCATTCTGAACAGCGGGAGGTTTGCCGCGGCATCGGCGAGCATCCGAAGGGGCAGCCCCGCGCCAGCCGCGCCGACGCGGTGCCAAACTCGTCTGGGGACGCACTCGCGGGATGGACGAAATCCTGCGGGCGACTCACGCACGTTGGTAAGCTTCCTAGTGGACACATACACGATGGTCGCCCCGCCGTTGTCGCCGCCGCTCAGCGCCAGGCTGCGCGCCATTGGGACCTCGCCGTTGGCGAAGCTGTTCACGGCGAAGCCCTCCGGCACGATGATGTCCTCCACGGCGATTCGACAGGAAAATTCGGGCAGCCAAGTGCACAAAAGCAGCAAGGGCAGCAGGAGGGCGGGGGCGGGGAGAGGGGGCCTGGGGAGCGGGCGGGGCGCCATGGCGAGGCGTGGGCGCGCCGCGAGGCGGGGGGTTTTGGCGTGAGGCACTCGCACGGGCTGCCAAGCACTGTGTCGTGTTCTTGTGTTGTGCAATGCATAAAGGTGTGTGTACGATGTACATAAACGTTGGGCTGCGTACTTTGCCCTCTGGGTTGTAGCGTGTGTCACATCCAGTCTGTGGCGTGAGGCATCAGGAGAGATCGGCTGGCCAATCGGGAGGGATGGTCCCCATCCGGTTCGTGGTGTTGGCCGTCTGGTGAAAGCCTTTGACGGGTGCGGAGGAGCGCTCCGTGTTCACAAACCCCGACGCAAGAACTGCTGTGAGCTTCACTGCCAATTGGGGAGCCATGATTTGGGAAAAGACAGATGGGGGCAACATTCCGTCGCGGCGAGAAGGGTGCTGCGGCAAAACAATCCAACAGGGCGCGCTGCGGCGTAGCGTCCGAAGCATTATTGGGTGGTTGGCACTCCAACGATGGCGCATCCATCGGGCGACTTGTTTAACATCGATTCGATCTATTGATGAAGCACAAAATTCCACGGGTCACATGGTCCAGCATACAGCAAGGCAACCCCCGGCACGAACTTTCTACAATGCAATTATTTTGGATTCAAGAAAAAAAACACAGGCGCCCACTGGACGATGAACGGCTAAGGTTCAACATCAGCGCATGTTCTGAGCTCATGATCTTGAGGTGTTGGAATTCTTTCCGGGGACAGCTTTGCAAGTAATCGCAACGAACAACTGCGTTCAGATCGTGGTTCACAAGAGGCGGGCAGGTCACTCTACCTCAGGACAAGGCAGTGGATGATAAACGAATCTGAAGGACAGCCTGCTGGGCGACGCCGTTTCCACATCTCGAGACCGGACCCCGCCACAAGGTCAAAGCAATCACCACAGGGAACGTGGACAGAGATTTGTCACAACATCCCAAGAGCCAGAAATCTTCAATCAGGTCGCCTGATCGTTGAATGCAGCACGCACACGGAGGGTTCACGCTGCAGCAGTGCAAAAGACAATGTTTAAGAAACCAAATCTTCTGCACTATGTATTGAAAGGGCACTATGGCCTCCTTTCAATGGTACTTCAGCAGTTCATCTTGAATGTACATTATGAGCAATCTTCACACTCCTCCATCCTACCCACAATTCCTGAGCAGGCGTAAGGTATCATCGATCCCACATTCCAAGGCACACTATGGACACTCCTAGCATCGCAAACATCTGTCCCTACCCAATACAAAGGTCTACGAGCGCACTCCCCCAAACCCCAGCATGCAGGCAGGCTGCACACGTCTTCGACACCCAATCCCCCTTCCACACCCAGCTTCATCCCTTTTGCCAGCCACGAAGGGTGATACTGCCCATCTAACACAACCAGCATATGTGGTGCCACAAACACATCCTAAACCCCAGCTGGCAGCTGTCCATGCACAGAGTTCCAGATCCCCTGAGCAGAAAGTACCAGGAGTCTCCTTTGTCAACGATCGGTTTCGACTCGAGCATCAGAAGGATACATAGTGAGCTGGCCCATTGGTGACGCACCATGCTGATCTGCAATGCTGGAGTCCTCACAGGCTTCCCAACGTCTCCGCATGATAACTCTATTACCTCTATTGGCCACAATGAACTTGCTTGACAATGCCCTGCAAGGTTCAAGGGAATCGCTCTCTCCTAGAGGGCACTGTGCTGCTCTTAACGGACACTGCTGTGCCCTAGAATGGCACATGTTTGCCCCCAGAAGGCCACTGTTACACTCCAAAAATACTGATGTAGCCACAGCAGATTTCCACCCCCTTGTAACAACAAAAGCCAGGTGCTTCACTTTCAATGGTAATCTCAGGAAGGGACTGGAGGTGGTGCCATCGTTTGGTGTCATCTCCCACAGGACGCGCACGACTCGGCCAAGGTGGAAGCGCTGGGAGAGTGGTGTTCTTGATGCAAACCCCCAGCAAAATCATTTGTGGATGGTGCTTCAGTGGTAAGCAAGAAAGGAGCAAGGAAAGGCAAAGAGGAACAGAACGCTTGTCGGTTCGATGCACCTTGCTGGCAAAGCATCCTACTGTTGGCACTTTGCTCGATGGGCGCATGCAGCCACAGCTCTTGACCACTGTTGCCAGACTTGTTGCATCCCGGGTGCTCCACAGGCACTGTGGGCAGGCCCAGCCATGCCCCAGTTAAGGTTGTGGATGCTTGGCGTAGATCGAAAACCCGACTGAGTTGATGAAGCTCTTCACCTCATTCAAGATCCCCCATGCATCATGAGTTGGCCTGCCAGCACATGACTTTTATGACGACTTGCAAGCCTCGGATGGTTCACCTCGGGTGATGTAGAGACCATGCTTGATCACCTTGCATTGACTAGTCAGCGTACTTCACCAATCTTCTGAAGCACACTGTGAACATTGTCATGCTGGCGCCAAGTCCTCAGCTTCACCATGGATGATTCTATCCACAGGAGTATGGCATGGGGTTCAGATAGGCTCTCTGCCACAGGCAGATAGAAAACATCACCCCGGCTCGCCGTTTGCATGAGCTTCCACCTCTCCTATGCGGCTCCAAATCCCATCCGTCCTCTTTAGCATCCTCCCACGCTCATCCCCATGTGCCACCCCAACCACAGAGATGTCCAACCTGGGTGCCCTCAAGCACCCCCCTTCCTGCCCCTTTCTTCTACCCTCCCCCTCCATACCCTTCTTTCTGCCAACCCTGTTGGTATCCAACAGCCCTAGGCAACCCCTCGTGCACCTCCACGCGAGCCGAAACGGCATCACCAAGATCCACATCAGGCCGGTGACCAATATTGAGATAACGAGTCCAGGAACGAAGATGCAGCATGTGACAAGAGCACCACCTGGACAGTTCAACACTCTGTGGACTAATTTGGGAACTGCCTGATCAGAGTTTTCTGGGGATCGATCCCGATCCTCAATGGCCGTGCCTTCGAGGGCAGCGGTCCGGCATGCGCATTGATCATACAGGGCTTTTCTCACAGGGTCCTTGAGGACTGCAAACGCTGCATCGCAGAGGGCACTGGCAGGCTTGGCCAGAGGGAGATGGGCAGCATCGTCTGCTGCAACAATCCTGAACATTCAACACACAAAGCGGAAATGAGATCGGTATGGGGACAAACGCTTGTCGGTGCTCACTGTGCCTGACACCGCTGAATATGTACAAGTCCACTGCTTTTCGGACCTTGGAAAGTGCAACCTAGCTGACTGAGGCTCAACAAACTTCCTTGGCAACAGTCAGTCAATCTGTTTCCCCAGCAGTCGGAACGAAAACGGAGCTCAGCATGCAACAGCCAATCGGATGATGCGCATAATGCGCACCGTTCTGTGCACATTCGCCAGTGTTGGTACAGTACTGCCCTTGTGACAGTGACCCGATCATGGACATAATTTTCAACCCAGCGGGGTTGCTTGATCAGAGGGAGTGAGGAACAAGGTGACGCCCCAGAGTGTCACTCACTTCCTCAGCCGCGACCAGTTGTGCCGAACCTCTGTGTGAGGTGTGTCCCTTGCCACCTGCAGTCATGGACAGTTGCTTAGGCACTGGCAGGTTCTGCATCACACTGCTGAATGCAGGCAACCACTCTTGCCTTAACTTCTATCCTCCAGCTTCCGATGTCCTTTTTTCAGTTCCCTAACACTCCAATTCCTTGCCGGAACAAGGGATTTGTTCACATCTAACATGCATAGGAGATGACTGTCTCCTATCAGGCCCAAACCACCAGAAATACATGCAACTGGCATTGTCATGTTTTCTGTTTTGTCATAGTTTTATGTAACATTACCATAATTATACAATATCACAATCATCGAAACACGGCTGTACCACACAAGACAAATGCAGAAGATGACAAACATGACAACCTGACAAAGTTCTGTCACTGCATCTGCTGTGTCGTGCCTTGCAACCCCACTGACACAGCCCGGTACAATAAGACAGGCAGCCGATGTGCAAGCAGATAAGCCTCCCCTTCACCACCATCTCTGCCCCATCCCTGCATGGTGACATCGGACTGTGCCTCAAGCACGGCAAACATGTAGCTTGTGTACTCAAGTACATACTGCAACAGACATACAGATGCTGAATATGATGCAATATGTTGTAATACAAAGAACAGGCAATGTGCATCAAGTAAAAACCAGGGATAAAAGACAAAGTCACCCTTCAGCCCCTCATCGTCTTGAATATACCCAAGCTCGTATTCTCTGAAGGGTAAAAATGTAACAAAGGAACTTCAGATTTCAGATACACAGAATCAGGCACAGAATCAGGATCACAATTTTACAGAATCTGTACCTTCAGTATTGCGTAGTAGTTGTACTTCAGGTCAGCGATCCTCCTACACTCTGCAGCTGCGCTCCTGCAGGCATAAGCAACACAGCAACCTGAGATCGACACAAGAACTCCATAGAGCGATAAATGTGAGATGCGATATGTGATGCGAAAAGTTCTGAGTGTCTCTGCACATCATAGGTGTTGATATATGCACTGAATTTTCAGTAACATTCATGCCTGTGACTTGTGCTCGTAAATCTGTGGCGATGTGGTTTGCAAGGCTGGGACTTGGGAAGTGCTAGGCATCTGAAGAGCAAAGTGGCCAGCCACATGCCCTTCCAAGATGACTGGGTCAAATTCCATAATCCGGTACAACCACACGTGAGACACAAAATGCCGTACGCATGCTGGAAAGTGAGCCACATGAAAATGCAAAATTCTCATCTCTGCTTGCTTATCTCTTCGACATCAATGACATAGACAATTTGATTCTATTGCTGGCTGATGTTTCGTCTGTGGCGATCTACCACAGTGGTGTCTCATTCTGTTACCATTCGTCTGGGAAAACAGCTGGTTTACATTGTTGTCTGCATTATAACCTTGCACTATGACATGCATTTTGGCTATCCCTTGTTGCTACCTTGCAATGATATACACTCAGTGGCCATGAAAGATCAGCAGCCCAAGCCACAGAGATACAGCAGCCCAACAGTGTTCTGGAGTGCTAGGAGGGTCTTGCTGCGAGCAGTGCTCGCAGGTGAGCCTCAATCACAGCAGGTGCCAAAATCGATTCCCACCCCAAGATAAAACTCAATCTGCAGCCCTTTGTGTGCCTGCTTTTATGTCATTCATGCCACGCCCTGGTGGAGGCAGCTGCTGTTGCACTTGGAGGAGGCGTCTGCAATGTCTATGCCAGTATGGGCACTGTTGCTCAGGAGAACATCAGTCAACGCGCTGCAGGCTGCCTCCTTCAGCAGCTGCCCAATTTGTGAATGGATGCTCATCATCGCCTTGTATGTGGAAGACTATGCTTATCAACGTCTCAGCCATAGTGCGATAAGTCAATTTCAAATAGCAAATGCAATCAAAAACCGGTGTAAGTTAATGTACTCAATACATGGTAGCATAAACCGTAAGAACAATGATGCAATCAATCCTGGAACTGCATCGCTCAAACATACCCAAATGCTGCGTTCCTTCCCCAGCCATCCCGTGTCGACGCCCGCAGCTCCGCCTGCTGCTCCACTTCGGCAGAACCTGGACAGCAGCCACACCAGCCACTCTCAGCAAGAGTGGGTTCAGCCCTTCCCAGGCCTCTGCGTTGCCTCAAGGGATGCAACATGGCACATCAAAGCACACTGAGATGCCCATCACAGCCATGAACACAACTGGCCACAAAAATGTTCGATACCCTTCATTTCCACACATGAAGGTCATGAAGGCTATGTTAATGTTTTGGGCGGTGGGTGGGGGTGGGGTGGGGTGGGTTGAGGGGTTGCGGGGTTCAGGTTTCAGAGTCCTTGTACCCTTCATGACCCCTTCAGACTTCTGTATCTGGAAAGGGGAGGGATTGAACAAACCTTCATTCACCATGAGTGGTTAAAAACTCTGGAATCAATATAGCGCCTAGTGGTTGTGCTTGCATGTGATGGCAATCACCGAGGCGAAATGGACCCGTTGTCCTTTGTCTGGTGCTTTGTGTGGTGTGCATGAATGAACCCTTCGGGGCTGACAGGCACTGAACAGAACCTTATCATCAAGCAGACAGCTACAGTTGCTCAATAATTTGTCCATCATTCTTTGATTCGTGGCTGGCGCGCAATCATGTGCACCTCATCATCAAGCAGACAATCACAATTGCCTGTGGAGCTATCCATCAACCAAGCATTCTACAAAGCCTCTAGAGCGCAACACGCGCTTCCTCAGATGCCCGCTCGAGAATTTCCCGCCTGCTCCCTATGCTGGAAAGAGGCACTCGACCCATCATGCACCATCCCGCGTTGTGCCAACGGCCCGCAAACAAGAGGGCACCCAAACACCCAACCTTTCGCGCCCCCCTGGCGTTCCACGCCACCCAAGCGGGCGGCTGGGTGGCGCATCGCGACCAGCCTCCCGCTTCGCCGCCCCTCCGCTGCTGCCGTCCGCAGCCCCCCGAACGAGGGCCGCAGCTTGACACTCCCATGTCAGTGGGCACACCGAACACCCCCACACCCCATTCTGCACCGCGCAACATTTCCTCCCACGGCAGCCCCCCGCCAGGCCGGCCGGGACCCTGCTCGCCCCAAATCTCAGGCTCCACACAAATCCACCCTCCGATTCACGACCTGTTTTCGTGTGGTGCTCAGGCAAGCGTGCCGATTTTCGCCGCACTCTCTCCCCCAACCCCACCCCCGCCCGGCTCACCTTGTGCCGCCGCACCGCTTGCGGCGCTGTCGTCCCCCTGGCCCTCCAGCTGCACCGACATCCGCTTCGACGCGCCCCCTCCCCACTCCCCGCCCCTGCGCAGCAAATCCCGGGCCACCCCTGTTCCCCGGAGCCCAACACCCCGTCGCCCGGTACGCCAAGTTGGAGTGCCCACCCAAACGGCGGGGGATGGTGGCGGCCGGCCCGATCGCCCCCGCCGGGCGCCGCCCCTCGCCGATGAGTTCGACGCGGCGAGAGAGCGGGGGCGGTTGTGGGTCGCGGGCGACCCAAAAACGGCGAGATTCGGCAAGGTTCGATCTCCCGGCGCCCGACGGGGGGATGGGGAGTGCAAGCCGGGGAGTGCTCGACAGGGGGGATCTCCCGCGGTGGAGGGTGGCGAAAGGGAGCACGGGCGGGGGAGGGGGGTGGGGGGGAGTGAGGGGAGAGGGAGAGCGGGGGGGCAGGCCCGGGGTGAGAAGGCTGAGCGATGGAGTCGTCGTGGGGTAGGGGGGTTGTATGATGTGGCTGTGGATAATGGGCGCTGGACAGACTTGCTTTGAGGGATCCCCTCTTCGGGGAAATGGCGCCGTTGTGGCTGGGACTGATCGAGTATTTTTTTAACTGCTGGATGCAGAGGTGATGCGGCATTGGAACTGCATTGAGCGCATTGATGAGCGGACTGGATACAAGGGACGGAATTCCTGCTGTCCCTTTACTCCGCTGTAAACCGTTGCCGTGTGTCGACCCTGCCGGCCGCCTCATTCCTAAGGGAGTGGATTGCCCTCTTTCTTGCCCCTGGCCAGTCGGTCAGGTAAAGCTGAGGGACATCCCATCAGAGGTACCCGGTTCGATCCCCGGTCCAGTCATCCTTTTTATCATCCGCGCTTCAACAGTCCGGCCTCGGTTCGCTTCTCAATCGATGAAATTTTTCGTTGTGCATTCCTTGGGCCAGGGCCGGGGTTGCTTCCGTGGATGGTTGGTCAGTGCCTTGGCGGGTGCCTGATGATTTGGGGATGGGTTCTAGTGGCTGTGTTGCTTTTTTTGGCCTTGGTTTGGATGTTGCGATTTTTTGACGCCGGGTCTGTGAGCCCAGACGGTGTCAGATATTATAAGGTGCTGAAGGATAGCGGCTGGGTTCCGACTCAAGTTCCCAGGAGCACCGACGGAAGATGTACCGTATTCACATCGTCGGCGGATGGGATTGGTCCAACAAGCAATATCAAGGGTATGACTGTGAAGGGGCTATGCGGCTCGCTCACAAACGCCTCACACATTGGGATCCAGGGATTATGGGCAAAGGGGATTGCTGCGTGCTTTCTTTGTCCTAGATGATCCCTTCACAGCTGTTCCAAGGGGACTCCTGCCTTCATCCTGTGTGCGAGGCTTGCTGGGATAGATAAAGTTTCCCAGGCTGCTAAGCAGCTCACCGCATGATGGGGATGCATGTGCCTGGTGCATGTTGGTGTGGACGTGCCTGACATGCGTGCGCCTGACGCAGCATCGCTGCCCTCGGGTCTGATTGTCGTTCTGCTCATGTTTTCTGAATTGCACGCGACACCCCGCTCGTGTTAGACTTGCCTGTCTGCTCGTCCAAGCCTGGGTTCGGTCTCACGTTTCCTCCAGAAAGCCAGGGACACCGGCCACCAAAACTCAATCAGTTTTCTTTCTTTCGTCCGCGCCCGTTCGCTAGCACCCTTGAATCACAGGGCTATAGGGTTAGGCGCCTCGCTGAGCGCAAAAGCCGATGTCGCGATGCAGCCATCGCAGCTCATAACCCTAGGGCGGCTGACGTGCAGAATGCGCCACACACAGACGTTTCACTCAGAGACCTGTGCAGGTCGTCGGTGGTAGTGCACAAACAGCTCGCATCCCACCCCAACTCCCAATTTTAATCCCCACGAACTCCACAATGACTGCAAGGGAAACAGGAGAAAACGGTATGTTTATAGTATTATATTCATATAGAAATGTTTATATAATAAATATATATAGCCTCTGTCCATGTACACATATAGGAGCACTCCTTTCAATTTCCAAACAATTGTTCAGATTTTGATCCCTTTTTTAAGTTCAAACGCTGTTTGATGTGCAGGTGGCAATTTCTGTATTGCAGAATACTCAAAATCTTCATTCGGATATTTACAAACGCCAAAATTGTTAATTGCCAGTACGAGAAATCGTTGACGACCGAAGAGAGACCAAAGCTATCACGGTGGTACCGTGGAGTCTTGAGAAGGGGCCCGCAACACCTGCAAGATGAGCTGCAGACAAGATACGCTGACAATTGGGTCCGCACATGAACCCCACAGCTTGTTTGCATTTCAAAAGTCGAGGAGTCCCACACACAGCGCGATCATGATTAACTTTCGAAGACTCAAATGCTTTGAATCACATTTTTGTCTGTCTCTCTGTCTGTCCATCCAAAAAGTGGAGGTGCAAATGTTGGTCCAGGCGTCCCCCCTTCCAGAAGGGTATTGTTTGGAATTCCAACCAGCAGATGTGATGCCGAGTATGTGCAATACATTGGAAGGTGATGCACAGCCCAAAGTAATCATACGAAATTGAATGCTCAATCTCAAGGGAGAGAAAATGGGCACTCCTGACGATCTTCTGTAATTCAGGTGCTACTTTTGCAACGATTCTTTTTGGTCTCAAATAGACAACTATTAAAGCGGCACGGAGGAAGTAATATTCATGCACGCAACGAAATTATGAAATGGCCCCTTCCATGCTAACGACCACGGCCGTGTTTTTCTGCCCGGTATCCGCCTGCGGTGCGCGCCCACAACGGCCCACTACAACGGTGGCCCAAACACCCCGCGACCTGCAACTTGGGCTGCCGCATCTGTGTCTCGTTGCAAGACTTCACGGAATTGGTGCCGACTTCAGCTCGAGCTCAGCAACCTCCACACGCTCAAGGCAGAGCCATTAAAATACACCGACAGACAACAGGAAGAATCAGTGCGTCCCCGGCCGGCCACCCACCTTCGCCACCAGGCCGCCCATCCTGAATCCAAGGAAGGCACAAAGCATACGATTCCGCATCGCACAATCACCCTCCCCGCCCTCCCCAATCCACCCACCCCGTTTGTCAACGTACAGGGCACAGCCCGCCAAAAGCACAAAATGTCCAGCCCTCTATGTCATTCCCCACGTATCGACAGCGACGGCAAATGCCTGCGATCAGCTGAGGACCCCGAGTCAACGAAAAAGATGGGAAAATTGACACACCTGCTGGATAATGTACAGGGCCCCTCCATTTTCCACCCCGAGAGATCGGGGTGCCAGCAAACGAAGGGCACCCATCCTCGGCGTCAATGAAAGAAGAAAGAACGCAAAAACCAACGCCCCACAGAGTCCTGCGCTGTCCCCCTTGTTAATGTACACACAGACGACAGTCCAAGCGAAACGGCTGCCAGAACGCAGACCCTCTCTCCCCTTGCTTGACGGCAAGAATTGGGCGTTAACAAAATACGAAAATGCTCACCCAGCCCAGCACACACACAATGACTAATCCTACCCCTCTCCCACACCCTTCCCCATGCCAGCGACCCCGGGAGCCCAAGGGCTGCCACGAAGCCACACCTCGAACCATGCCGCCCCCACAGAAAACACCCAAGTCGCAGCTGCAAAGGCAATTCCAAGCAGCAGCCAAGCCGCTGCGGGTCAGCTGCCCGGCAGCCGCGCCCCCGTCCCCTCAAAATCCGAACACCGTTCGGTACGAAATCGCCAGGCCTATCCCAACACGGTTCCTGGTCGACAATCGAGACGTGACCGACACGACCGCAGCCTGACTGAACCAAGGCCCCTCCATGCACCGCACATGCCATCGACCGTCACACGAATCCGCTGCCGAAAAGTCATCAAGAGTCGGCGCACTCAGCCTGCCACCCGCTGAGCAATCCCTGATAAGTACATTATTGGTATGCTAATAATCCCAGCCATCCATCGTTTGGGCAAAACTACCCCTTGTGGTCACCCACCACAGCCCCCACAACCCGTTGTTGACTCGCATCGTCCCTTGGGTGATCCGCCAGCACTGTGTCTTTGCAGGGGGGCACAATCAACAAGGAGCCACATCGACCCCGTGCCTCAACTATAAGCTGCCGTTGTCAACAAAATGCACCCCACCCTAAACCTACACATCCCTTGAGGCGACCTGGGCAACAATTCGCGGCCCCCAAGGCAAATTGAAACCAACATGGCAACACGCCCCTCATTGTCCATCAACCAAAATTGTCCATGTCGTTGCAAAGATGGGCGCCTGTCCGACCCTCCCTAGCCCGCCTTGGGTCCGGTCCTCCTTCGCTTGGCCAGCCACCGCAAAGTCAGGCCTGCCTCTCCCAAGCCAGCCTTGTCGCCCTTGGCCCACATGCCAGAATCCGAGCTCCTTGGGGATACCATCGCCTCGCTTTCGATGGGCTCAGTCAGCTGTGCCACCCTGTGGCTCCCCGATTTCTCCAATTCCTCAAGCTGACTCAATTGACCCAACTGATTGAGCTGAATTACCAGTCCTCCAGACAATGGGCCTTCGGGCCCGTCAAGGCTCTTCTGTCCCAAGCCCCTTGCAGGGTGGCTGCGCCATGCATCATGGCCTGCTGACACCCCCTGCGACTTGCTCTGGTGACTGCCCGCATTTGGGCTGTGTGCAATGGGCAGAACGGACAGCATGGGCATGAATGAGCCCATGGAGGGGTACAGCTGGGGAAAGCGGGGCGGCAGTGGCACAGACCGAGACTGGGTGGGCATCACGGAAGGCATGAAGCCCCACAGAGCCTCCACGGGATCGGCTGGCATCGGGCCTGGCAGGCCTTGTGGCGCGGTGGGCGTGCTGCCAAACGGCCAGTCCCTGGCGCTGAGACTGGCACCAAATTTCGAGCACCCATCCTTAGAGTGCGGGCGGCTGGGATGGAACCTGAAGCGTGGGCTCATCGAAGAATTTGAGTTGCCGCTGACCTGATCCAGCTGCAGCATGTTGAGATCTGCCCCATTTTCGAGGTCGTCGACTGTGAGTGTACGGTCTGAGGCACACAAGTTGAGCGCAAAGTCAGCAGGGCGTTCGAGTCGCATTGGCACTCAACGCTTGTTTCTGGACACTGAAACGCATCGCACAACATCTATCTGGACACACTGGGCATAGAGCACCCAACCCGGATGCAGCGGCCATTTCAATTGAAAATTGTGTCTGCACACCACCTGGTGGCAATCCGAGAACAAGACACACAATGGCTCTTGAATGTGATGCAGTCTACGGGAATCAGAAGAAAAGAGCACACAAACAGGGACAGCTTATTGTCAGGGTGCAGCAGAACATGCATTTCAAAGAAGTTGGAAAGGCATGAGTCCTCCCCATCACGTTTGATTTCTTTTGCGTACGAGCGCAAGCGACCCATGCAATCCAAGCATGAACCAATGCAGTGCTTTTTGTGGGGTCAAGCACAGCACGCTAATTGGAGTCTGACGCCCGCAATCGCCAAATCACCGTAAGAACACCACGCCACACGGTGACCAACCCCGTCTTGAACCCCAAACATCCTTGAAACCCTCCTCCACAGCCCAGGCTTCCAGGCCCGGCCTGGCACCAAAACGACACAGCCCACATACAACAAACCGGCCCAACGTCGCCAGCTCGGTGCAAGGCCCTGCCTTCCCTTCTGGTGACAAGCATGCAATCGATGGAACAGGACGCAACACACATTGTATAACCTGTGTTTCGGGGACTTAGCACGTCTTGACATACACACGCGCGCGCGCGCGCGCACACACACACGCACACACCTGGCACGCCCCTGAGCTGCAGTTTGCCCTTGCGGTACTTCACCCCGCATGCATTGCACAGGATGGGCACCTCGCTGGGGCCGGACCGCCACTGCACGGTGCTCCGTGCGCCACAGCAGCCGCACCTCCGCGCGGGCACGTCCGGCAGCTTGGCGCGCTTGCGGGACACCCTGGCGCCCTCCTGCGCCTCGGCGATCATGCTCAGCAGCAGCAGGCCCTCCGTGCCTTGGCAGGGCCGATGCCGCCGCTGACCTGGGAGAAGATC